ATTATTTTTTAGGTGGTATTCTTGGATACTAAATTGCAAACAAAATATATGCGCATCATTCACTACCAAAATGTATAAAGTAACTAAATAAAAAAGGTAACTCAAATATTACCGTGTCATACTGCAGATTATTTCTGTGGAGAAACTCAAGTATTTGCTGAGCATCCAGTTCATTAAATCGGAATCGAAATAGGTCGACTTCTTGTTGTATAAACCAACGTCTCAAATCCTCCCTTGAATGAAATAAAGATATGAGTTGACAATTTTACATTTACACCACACATTAATAAACATGTAGAGACTGAACATACGTTTGGCAGTAGGCAAGCCGCAGGATGAAGTGGGAAATGTGGTCCTTTCGCCGTTTCTCATGTTCACTTAGACTCTGAGTTTTTCGGTCATCCTTCGGGAATATGGAGTAATGTTTTGATGGCTTTTATACACTTTGCAGTCTTCACAATATTTTGTACAGACTATACTTACCACTTCCACTCTGTATGGAAAATTTAGGTTTTTAAACTCACTCTCCAGTTTCTTGGCGTATTGGTCAGACAGTTTGACATAGCTGACTCCCAAATTTTCAATGGTCTTCAGCACTGCAGCAAAAACAGAAGAGCAGATAAAAGGTGAAGACGATTTGTTCACAGTTCACAAAATAAGATGGACGTAGCCTACATTTCAGTCTTTCCACAGCAAATGTCTCAAATTCTGTGAGGGAAATGTTTTCAATAGGAGGTTGTCCATAGAATTGTAGTGGGTGTCCATATAGTTCTTCGAGAGCGCTGTTGTAGTTGGTCTTTCTCCTTCTGCTAGAAAACTGCATAGTGCCTAAAACGGAAAAGTGATTACAGAACATACACAACCCAGAAAACTGCACAAAAGCTACAACCTAGATCATGCTACATAATGACAGATGTTTTATCATGGTATACAGGATTACGTTGCAACTATAAACAACTAGAAAAGCGTGATCTAAAAGACAGGGTGCACTTTAACGAATAACCAGATGTTGTAAATTGCTAAATAAAGTACAATACCGTTTCCCCAAAATTCACGGTGATGAGGATGAGTATATTTCTAAAACGAATCCCGCCAAACAAATCGCGGGTAAAGTGTGACGACTTCAACCAGGAAGTACAGAATAAACACGCCCCGAGCTGCTGTCACATGTGAGCGCTTGTTTTGTTCATCTGCACAGCCTACTCATGAGCCTGTGTCAAAGTTTTTACACCCTTTTAAAAGTACGGTAAATGTGTATTTATGTCAAAATGTACCACAAAAGATAATAATCGGACTGGTTTACTGTGTCCAATTTAATGAAGAAGCGGAGGAAATGGGCCGTGAAGAGAAAATGTTAAGTATTTTGTTATTCTTATTTGCTCATTAATCATATTATTCTAACATTTTCTGGTAAAACATACAAGCTTTTGTCTATCGGTAACATTTTCTATCTGTTCTCATGTTTCTTGTCGTTTCTCTGCTCTGTGCCGTGTGGATTCAGCCGCTGCCTAGCAACAACATTCATTAGCGCGCTAGCCGCAGTTGTCAGGTTAGCAATGCTGAACCCATCCCGAAGATCCTGGAAGGAAGCTGCAACTGCGATCAGAAGCGGTTTATCGTCTCCTTTGAACAAAAACCTTTAGTTGTAGAAGTAGAAGTAGTGGATCTAAAATAATTACTTGACAAACTACTTGTGCGTAATATTGCAGTGTCGGGGCACTGCGGGCTTACCTAAAGTGGCTAGCACTAGCTTGGTAACATTAGCACCGGGAGACAGACACATTTCTCAGAGGGACAGATCAGAATAGCGGGTGAAGATATGGGCGTGTAATTAACACGCTTTATATTAGCGATTTTCTAAGTTCATCTTATGAAGACAGCAAGGACTGGGTGTATTATAAAGGAATCCTCTAGGTAAGAGAAAGAGAAAACTTTTATTTAATCTGTCTGTGTTTTAGAAGCTAGTGACGGTCTTGAACAGCTGTAACGTTACAGTTCAACATCTTTATGCGTGTCGTTCAACAGGTTACATAGAGTATTTTACTTATGCCTATGTCCGAGGAGATTCATTCGAGATAAGGATCCGTTTTGGATTTGTAATAATGGCTACCCATAGTGTTACGTATTGGAGGCAGATAGTCTTACCTTTAGCAGCATTTTATTACCAGTTTATGCCTAACGCTAAATATTTAACATCATTAGTTTTGTGTAAGCGGGTTACTCTCCATGTTCTTTCCTCTTTAAAAATGCTTGCATTGTGCTAAAAATACATGTTCTGACTCAAGAGCAGACCGCCTGTTGGCCACACAGTAGTAGGTTGTGAGTGTCCAGTGCCAACAGATTTCTCACAATATGTTGTTTAGTATTTCACCCACAGCACATATTGGCTTAGAATACCCAGATGCTACACAGTGCTGCTCATGTCTTCAGTCAACATTTTAATAACGACTGAAAACTTGCTTCCTACAGAAATGTATTTGATTCTAAAGACTTGCTGTACAATTCCTATTCTATTATTGAAGACACTTATTTTTTGTTGTCTTATTTTACTGTCTATTTTATTTAACCACGGAGTCCAGTCATTATTATATTATTAGTTGTATGTTTGCGCCAAACCTCAAAATTGCTTGTGAATTGACAATGGCTTATTCTGATTCTGATCTGATGCAGGTTTTATCAGGTAGAGTGGAACTAAAGAAACAAACTATACGCTGCCGTCATGTTGGAAGAGGACATGGAAGTGGCCATTAAGGTGGTGGTAGTTGGCAATGGGGCTGTTGGCAAGTCCAGTATGATCCAGCGTTACTGTAAGGGCATCTTCACTAAGGACTACAAGAAAACTATTGGAGTGGATTTTCTTGAACGGCAGATAGTGTAAGCCAAATAGCTGCAAGTGTTTGAGTAATCATTTGTGATCTAAGCATCAAACTAGAGTTTCTTTTAACTCTGTGTCTCAACAATTTGCTTTTACAGTGTTAACAATGAAGATGTGCGGCTGATGTTGTGGGATACAGCTGGACAAGAAGAGTTTGATGCCATTACAAAGGCCTACTACCGGTGTAAGAGCCTACTAAATGTATATCCAGTGTGTATAGGCTACACTGTATGCAATAGACATAAGACATAAGTCACATCAATAATTTATGACTGTGGACCGCCTGCAAGGCTCGAGAAACGCATAGCATACATAGCCCATTCCAGTAATTCTTTAGAGTTAAATCTGGTGGCGCTGAAATGTTTCAATATGTACACCATGCATCAGTTGTTGCATAGAACAACAAAATACTGTACTTTACTTACACAATTATCTATTAAGAAGATAATTAAGATTTAACTAATAATGTCCTGTTTTACTTTTTGTGCTCTAGGTGCCCAAGCGTGTGTGCTAGTCTTCTCTACCACAGACCGGGAGTCATTTCTGGCCATTGAGAGTTGGAAGGAGAAGGTGGAGGCAGAAGTGGGAGATATCCCTACTGTTTTAGTGCAGAACAAGATAGATCTGCTTGAAGAGACTGTTGTTAAAAAGTACGATTTTTTGGAACAAGTGAATAAACTAGGCTTTACGTACATTTATTTTAATTGAGTTTTAATGTTGTTGCAGTGAGGAAGCAGAGGGGCTAGCTAAAAGACTTAAACTGCGATTTTACAGAGCGTCAGTAAAGGAAGATATGAATGTAAACGAAGGTAACTCAGGATTTGGTTGTTAGTTTTGAATTTACATTTTATCAGTATTTTAAAACTTTTTGTCTCTTTCAGTTTTTAAATACTTAGCAGAAAAATATCTACAACGACTCAAACAACAAACTGCAGAAGAGACAGAGGTGGTTCACTCAACGAGCAATAAAATAGGTAATACAAATATTTATTTTACTTTTTCTTTTTTTTTAAGCAACTAATGCATGACAATATGGTTTATAAATAAATTTTAGTAACCAATTAATTTCATTCCACAGGTGTATTTAATACCACTAGTAATGCTTGCAATCAAAGCCCTAATGGCAGAGAAATTATCACTTTGCGACCTAACAAACAAAGGACCAAGAAGAGTAAAAATCCCTTTGGAAGCTGCAGTGTCTTCTAATTATAGAGTATGTGTATTTTAGTAAAGAATAAACTGTTTATTGTATTCATCAAAGGTAGCCAATTTTGAGACCAAAGCTCTCCAAAACTGAGAAACCATAATATAAATATTTTATTACATTACTTTTTTTGTAAGTTGGTTGGAACTACATCAGATTTGCAGTTTGAGTGGATTTGTTGGTTCTTCTACCTGTGGCTGCCTTGCATCATTATAACTTCACATGGTCTGCATTTCACCTATCTCAACAGTGCAATATGTCCGAATTTGTTGTTGAAAGTTGACTAATCTAATTTACTGCTTAGCAAACAGAAAAAAGCTATGCTAATCTAAAATCTACATTAAGAGCAAATAAGTATTTTACTACTAACTGCAGTGTTTGTAGAGATTTTTCTTAAGTGTTAAATAGTGCCAAATGTATAACTTCTGAACACTAAACCCAGAGTCCTTTTTATACACAACAAAAACTGAATGTACAGTATCTGATATTCAGTGCACTTCTCTGACATAATACATCTCAAGTTTGCCTCAAATACATCAAGACTATGGGAAATGTTTAATTTTTAAAGGTTATGGTACAAGATGACTCAAGACATTTGAATTATGAGTTAACTATTGTTACACTACATTAAATAAATCTTCAGATGACACTGAATGAAAAGCACAAAATAAAAGAATGTTTCACTGGTACCATTTTTAAGTGTTTATGCATGTGAGTGTTAATTTAAAATAGATGTTTAATGGTCCCGACATTAAGTTCACTGTAGGTTACAGATAAAAGTATAAAACCTCCTTTTTGTCAGATTAAAACTCATGGTAGGTTTTTAAAATGTGTTTTTCTTTACCAGGTGAAATAGTGGTGTCACATTTTAGGTTAACTGAGTTACTGCATGCAAGTGTTTTTTTTTCGCTTTGTAGGGAATGATGAACAGTAGTCTCAAAGCCACAATGCCTTGTCAAGTGTTTACATTCCCTCTAGTGCTCTGTATTTTATTATTTTTTCCTTTTATGAAAGATACTGTATCTTATATTTACTTTACTGCATTTATATAAAATGTGCATTTTGTCTTTGACATTCTTTGTAACTTTCTTTGTTTACTAAATCAAGCGCACTTTATAACTATAGGAAAATTTGCTAAAAAAAAAAAAGAAAAATATTTAAAACAAACCATTCTGTGCAGTCACTCAGGTGTCTTTGAAACATTGTCTTCTGCCTTTTACAAATGACTTTATGAACATGGAATTAATGTATGCATTCAGACATATACAAACTGTTTTAGTTCTGGTTTATGACATTGAAATGTACCAAAATGGTGCCACAAAGCTCTTACCTTTTGGTTGAGAAGAAATGGTTGAAATAAAACATTCTTTTAAGCAGTTAGAAGTGATTTTTATTTCATCTAATTTGCAAAATCATGGCAATCAAGTCAAGTTCATATTGAAACACATTTAGCCTTTGTGAAAACAGAAAATCGTGATAGATCAATATGTGGAATAAAATCATATTTTTCATATCATCTAGCCCTAGCTGTGGAGATTATTGCTAGGTATTTTTTATAATAATTTTCTTGTAAAGAGTAATGCTGTTAACACTGAGTTAATAATGTTTTCATAATACATAATTTTGAGAAAATATTGTCAGAGCTAAATGTCTAGTGGGTGCAGTGGATTCTAAAATACAATGGGCATGAAAAAATATCTATCCACTACTTGTTTATTAAATTTTTTGTACAAACAATTACAATGTGGTGTATAATTATAATTTGTGATGCCTTCAGTAAAAGAGGTAGTGTAGTATAAACCATACTGGGTGTAACAATGGAAAAGATCTATGTGACAGCAAACAATAAAGTAAATTTATTTTGGTACAGAATTCTGTGTGTGCTGCAGTGTATCTGTCCTCGTCAAAGGCATCTTTCCACAAGTAGGTTAGCATTAGAGTCCATTGGCTCTGGGCTCATCTAGTTTTATGTTGTCCATTAGCTTAATGTTATCCTCTGCATTTTCAGTGTTCCTCAGCAGCATCTCCAGCCTCCTCTTGATCTTCTTCTGGTCCTCCAGAGCACAGCTGATGACCAGGGCCTGAAACTTCTGGTCAATAGGTACAGGTGGAGCCTCTGTGACACATGCTGCGTGCAGAGCCTGCAGGCGCTGCCGTCCACCCTCCATGTCATCCAGTAACTTCTTCACAATGTCATTGATTATTGATGTGGCCTTGCGAAGAGCCTCTTCCTGCTGGGAGTTTCTGATTGTGCCCACGCAGACCTCCACTGACAGAGTTCGTCCCATCAGGCGCTCTGCAGTTAAAGTTAACTCTTCTCTTTCACCTTAACAAAACAAGAAGCAAGCCATGTTTTTAGGGTAGGCATAACATATGACAACTGCACAATGTGATCTACTGCTACATTTACTAACTCTACTAAATAGCCAACGTGTATAGCTTCATGAGATTATTTGAGAATATACTGACAATTCTGGTTGAATAAAAAACAGATGAGTGGGATGTAGGTCTACTAATAAATCATACAGACATAATCCTATACAAATACAGAGTTTATTACCCATTATTTGCATAAGTGCATAGACCTCAGAAGGGGTTAATGGCTTAGAGCACTGCACTGATGTAAGATGTACATCGGCCTGGGTGAAGTAAACATCAGTCTCATGTCTCCAGGGGCTTTTGAAAACCATACAAGAACAATGTAATGGCAGAATCTCATCACAAAACAATGTTCCCACCCAGGAAATTGGAGAAGCAAAATGTGAAATAAAATAACCACTATAGGCATAGGCTAGTCAAAAAGCTTAGATTAAAAAACACTTCAATGGCAATGATGAGCGTTTTTATGGACTTACCATCACATATGTTGCGCATTTCTTGGCTATTTTTTAAAGACTGAATCATTTCCAAGATGCTCTCCCTTTCCTGTTCCATGGCCGCTGCTGTTTCGCGTAAAGTCTCCACCCTGGAAATCAAAACCACACAATTAAGACGAATATTCAAACATATCACTGAAAAAAAAAAGTGCTGACAAAAAGGTGCACAAGTGTCATTGCGTAATTGCTGCACCGACACCGTTATGCGTCTCACTGTATAAACAAAGTGGCAATTTAACTAGCTTTTATCATAACCTATAGAAACGAGCCAACCATTTGTTTATATTGTGTTATTATAGATTTAAAAGAGCACATGGCACGGCCTGTACCTAACTAAAGCCCACCTCATTTCCAGTTGATCCAAAGTTTCTAGTAGTCTTCCAGAGCGATCCGCCATGGACAGTGTCCTGCTGAACTTGCTGCCGGAAGCCTCGCTCATTTTTGCCTGTATTTTCGCTTGAGCCATGATGATTAACCGCTTTCTAATGGTTTATCCCGGAGTAAGTAACCGTGCGTGTCCGACACTTGCAGCTGTTCACTGTAGTACTACCTCGCTCGGACGGACGCAGTGCCTCAGGAACTTCCAAACATGGGCTGGAACTTCCTTTACTCAGACCTCAGAAGTTTCCCGAGGAGCCCAGAAGAGCGGAGTCAGGGTGGGTGTAAGTGGAGTGTGCCGCCCCTCCCAGCAAGGTTCAACTCAAGGTTCTTATTAAGACCTCAAGTCTCTACTGATAAACACTGAATGGGCCCTCCTCTCTTTCTAATGTGCACTCAATTAAATTGTCAATCATTTAGCAAAGCAGACAACAAGTCAACATCCTGTCTGAATATACTGTAATAGCAGATTATTACAACATTAGGTAGCTCAACATTATATCTATAATGTTCTGATTCATTGTAAATCTTAATACAGCAACCAGTAGAGTCAAATGCTCTGCCAGCGGGGATCTTGCAGTGTCATCACTGCCATCTATAGCACACAGTTCAAAACAACCAACTAATACTGTGAAAGAATATTTGACAACTTGTCATGATTGGTATATTCATAAAAATTCTACTCTTATATTAAAACATAACACATTTATTTAATACTCTTTCCAAACACAACTATAATTGACAGAACACTTGAATATTTTACCAGCCACCATTTGACAATTTAAAAGTCAAGCATACTTCTTTGAAGGGCCTCTTGTAACTCTGTAGGAATGAGAAAAATAAGTGTCCCTTTATTGAAAACTTCTCCTCCAGTTAATGAAAAGACACATACCGGCTGATTCCCTGGCTTCTTCCTCTCTGGCTTCCTCAGCACTTAAAGTTAAAGTTCGGTTCAGCTCTTCATCAGATTCATCTGCCACATCTACAAAGACCACAGAAAAATAGTATTCTGTTTTCTGAACTGTATAAAACAGCAAGTAAAGTATGCAGACTTTCCTTACTTTCATTGCAGTCTTTGTCTTGTTTGTTTATTTCCATCAAAGCAAGTGTGTCATCACCAATGTCTGTAATTCAAAACAATTATCTTTTTAAACAGAACAAAACATAAATGCTGACTGAAAACAGCAATATGAATTCTTACCACTGCTCTCTGGCTTGATCTCGACTGCATCAAGTACTTTAACAGCATTGGGTTCAGTCTTAACTGGGTTTGACAGGATCCTGGTGCTCATGCAGGGCTCATATGAACAGTGTTGGTTGTGATGGTGTTTATGAAAACTCGGTATATCCAGAAATCTCTCTGGACAAACTTTGCACTCTATGTCAAATGTTTTAGGAAGGTTCAAGGCAGTGTGTGTTGTGTGGACATGAGTCTTTATATGTGCGTAAGTAGAATATCTTACACCACATGGGCTGCACACATACTGGCATTTCCCCTCTGCAGCCAAACTCCTCATGCACTGAGTATAAGCAGCTTTCATGTCATCTTTGCCGTGCTCAGAGCCCATGCACGGGCAGCTGTCTACAGATGTGCTCACACTAGAGACACTTGGCTGAACCAAATCATTGTCATCCATACAGTAGTAATCACGGCTATGGAGGCATTTATAGTGCTCCAGAAACTCTCCTTCAGACTCAAAGTGCATGCTGTCACACAGGCCACAAAAGTGAGAGCTCTGAATGTCTCCATTATGCTCATTCACACAGTGTCTGCGCACTGTAGACTCTTTGAAAAACTTCTGAGGACAGTGGCCACAGATAAACCTCTGAAAGCTGTGCGCACTCACATCACTACAGTGTTTCTGAACTGCTGCCTCTGAATCAAAGATGTCCTCACACATCCTGCACATCCAGCTCTTTGGTTTGGGTGTGGCTTTGGGCAGCTCTGTGTTCTGTTGGAGTGCAGGTTTAAAGCTGCTGGTGGAAGGTTTGGCATCATCAACTGTGGGGACCTCTTTGGGCACTTCTTTCTCCATGTAATACGTGTGTCCACTATGGGCCTCTGACACATGTGACAGGATATCTTCCTGCCGAGGCATTTCCACATTACACTTTCGACAAAAATAGATGATGTTGGAAAGATGTGCTCCTCCATGAAAGCGACTCATGTGCAGGCGAGCAATAGAGGATTCGCCCATGTGTTTACCACAAACTCCACACTGATGGAAGATCTGATTCACAGCCAAAAGATGCTTTGAGGCGTTGGTCTCTTCAAAGAACTGCAGGCCACACTCACAGAACCAGGCCACAGCTGAGAGTCTGCTGGAGTAGCTGTTCTCCACTGGGCTGAGACACTGCCTTTTAGCAGGGAACTCATCAAAGTCACCTGCTCGATGTTTCTTCTGAAAATGAGTAGGCTGTTCAGACTTCCTTTTCTGCAGCTTATCCTTAGTTCTCTGCTTTTGTTGGAGTTCATGAAACCTGCTGAACTCTAGAAGGGCTTTGTCCATAGACCGGATGAGTTCCACATTGTGCTCTGTTAGTTCATGGTGCTTCTGAATTTCATGGCGGCTCAGAAATATCTTACAGCACACAGAGCACCTGCCCTTCACCTGCAGCTGTTTGACTATCTCTACTATTGTTTTATCAGCCTTGGCCACTGCACAGCCCTGCCTGCACTGCACACTGTAACAAAATGTGAAAGATTACAGAAAACTGAGGAACAGAATTGATCCTTTAATTGTACTAAAAATGAAGATGAATTCTTACTTGAAATGAGCCTGGGCAACTTGGTGTGAGACTAGTACTTTGTGACATAAAGAGCATCGTACATTGAAACTTGTGTCTTTGCACAAAGCAATAAGACGGTTCCTAGCATACTGAGGAACAGGAACAGGCACAGCTCTCCCTCTTGGGTCTTGAGAAATGCATTTTAAATGTTAAGTATTGAGCATTAACATTTACTAATTAAAAAAATTAAGAAAACTTACCACTCATGGCAAGGGCTTCTGTGAAGTGATTTTTAGCTGACATGTGCTGGAGACACTCATCCCGGACATGGAAGAGGAGATAACAGGCAGGACAAGCAAAACACACAATGCGTTGGTATGTCTGACTGAAGCGGTGACCATCGGGATTTTCTGAGGCAATCTGTAAAAACATTAATATTTTAAATATAATTGTAAAAAAAAAAAAAAAAAACAGACAACATTTCACCATCGTCTTTGTCAAGCCAAAACGAAGTTAACCACATAAGGGGTTTAAAGATGGCATTTTCCCTCAAGAGGTGGGAAGAAAAGGTAACAGGGGGAAGGGAACTGGTATGTTAATATGAAAATGAATAATAATTTGTTATTAGGTCAGTGTACGTATTAAACCTTAGATTCCATGTGTTTTCTCCACGCTTCATCACTTTGAAAATGTTGACCACAGGAAACACAAGCAAATATTTCAGAAGGATTTCCTTTGAGATGAATAGTTGGGTCACATGGTGAATGGTCAAACCTAAAAATCATGACAAAGCAGTCCCTTGTTAATGAATAAATATACAGATTTTTTTTTTTTTAAATATATAAATGAGTGGTACACAAAATGAAGGGCTAACCTCTTTAGGTGACCAGCAAGCAGGGATGCATTTTCATAGGTTCTATCACAGTTAATCACAGGACAAGTCTGTTTTGTTGGATTTATTCTTGGGAACGGTGCAGACATTTGTCTTCTTCTAAAACCAGCACCGATCACTCCAGGTTTTGCACCTTAGGAAAGAGTTGTATGAACAAACTTCCTCTGTTCCTCTTTCATCTCTAATTGCACTTATTAAAAATATACCTGGCATTTTCAGCCACATGTCCACACACCGCTTAGCCTCTTGACTCATTCCATTTGCAGAATTAAAAGCAAGCTCACGCTGCCCATGAGCTCTCTGTAAAATCTGTTTTTCCTGTGTAAAAAATAAAATGTATACATTATACACAGAAAAAAGGCACTTTGAAAGCATTTAGGTCATTTAAATCCTAGCCTTCACCACAAGGTGGCAGGGTTTCTCTCCTTAGAAACTAATGCTCTTGCTTATTTAGCTAAATTTCAAAGTAGAGTATTACCTTAAAAGCTCTACATTTATTTGCTCTCTCTTCTTTTTCCAGCGCAACCTGCTGTGCAAGTTTGTCCAATGTGGATGCAACATGATCTTTGTGACGGCTGATTTCATCATCAAACTTAAGGCCAAAATAGGAAACGTCACATCAAGTTCAATTTAATAAAATTGTTCATAGTCAATACATTTTTGAAAATACATTACCGTGACCAACATTGGTGAACCTCGGTCATCTTCACTGTCAGTTAGAAGATCAATACATTCTTGTACTGGTCTTAACGGTCCTTCCTGAAGAAAATATGATTAGGCTCTCCATGTGTTTCAGAATGATCAAAATGAAGTGTTGCCATTAAAACAAAATATTATATATTTTGAATAAGGAAAAGTCCTATAATGCTGCATATAACAGGATGGTTAAGCTCATGAATACATGTCCTTTAAGAAAACAACAAATGATCATACATTTGAATCTACTGAAGGCCAGGGTCTACAGCTTGTGTATATATTATAAATAATTAAAATAAAGAAAAGCTTAAATTAAAATAACATACAGATACAAACTCCACTTCCTCCATGTCATCGTCCTCTGCTTCAAGTGGAGAGGACATCATCTACAAAAAATAGACCTCTACTTTATAAGGGAGCATTTCATTTGAAAACATCTCCATGAAGACAGGCAGGTGGCGCTTCCTGCACACTTTCAAAAATAAAAATAAAAAATACAAATATTCAATAAAAATATATATATTTGGCTTGTCACGTAAATCTGCCTGCCACTTGAAAATGATAACAGATAAAGAAGTACAAAAAGCTGTTGTGTTCTGTTTACATGAAGATCAGAGAAGTTGCATCAGCATAACTTAGCAAACAGCAATGCTTTTTTAATGTGTATCTACTTTCTTTTTATGAATGGTTGTACAGGTAAAAGTATATAATTATATGAAAGGTGCAAAGAATGAATCACGACCAGGCAGTGATTATCGTGCCAAGTCTAACGTTAGCTTGATAACCACTTAGCGGTAGGCTACGTTCCTCTGACAACCTGCAAAAAGCATTCAAAAGTTCAGCTTTAGCCTGTTCGGGTTCAAACATTAAATCTAACCTGGATTCTGTAAGTGTTTGGAAATATTTACCTATGCCCTCTGATTGATTTCTTGTTAATCTTTGCTTCGTGTGAGTTGTTTTTTGTCCATGAAGTGTGGACGCCTGGTATCGTCACACCAAAGAAGCGCTTCTTTTTTTTCTCGGCGTGTCCCTGATGGGCGGGGCTTAGAGTGGCGCATGGCTGGTTTCAAGCAATTATCATAGACTTAATACAGACTTCTTTTATTCGTAATAATGCTTTTATACATTATTATCAGGGGAAAAAAAAATACAAAAATTTAAAAGACAAGTAGAGCTATGTTCTATGGTTAGGTTTATGCAGTCTATGGGCTTTACCGTGAATTTCAAATTTGCAGTGTATATTAATTAGGCTATTTATTATTAGGACTATTCCTTAGTGTTTTTGTGCAGCCTATATAGCCCCCCTTTAAAAAAAACACAACAAAACAGCCCTACCGAAGTGTTAATTCTAGCATGAATCTGCTGACTTTCTACACTTCACAAATAAATAAATAAATAACTTGCCCTTGTGCTGAGTCATGCATTATCCCCCCACAATAACGATGTCAATAGTCTGCGCTGGCTACTTTGAACCCTACAGTGTCCACTGCATGGTGCGCGATGACTGCCTTGGTCAGAGAGTTTATTCGCGTATTGAGCCATCTTCCATAAACCGCGAGGGAAGGAGCCGGCTGTCTGATGCATCAGGCTCTGTCCTCCATCCTGTCTTATGATGATCGCTGCCGCGTTTTTGGTACTCTTGAGGCCGTACAGTATCCAATGTGTGCTGTTGTTGTTGCTGCTTTTGCTAGGAACTATTGCGACTATTTTGTTTTTCTGCTGCTGGCACCGCAGGCTCCGTAATGGAAAGCATCCAATAAAATCCGTGCTCTCTGGACGCCCCAAGTGCCGCGGTGAGTGGCGCAGCATCCTCATGACAGCTGTCACCGGGATGCTGTAGCCTTATAATCCATGTTGCCTTCTGTTTTCTTAGCTAATATGACAGGTGTTTTGGAGGATACTTCAAATTAAATTGGAATAGTTTTTTGACAGATTTGTTTGGATATTCAGCCTAAAATTTATAGACTATGACATAGGATCTATTAGGCTTATAGGCGATTTATTTCGCATCATCCTCACCTTGGACAAGCCTAAATGTTGTTTTATTTTGCAGTTGGTCTCCGAACGCACCATTTTCGCTCTGAGGTAGGTCAACTTCTTAAATAGTTTATAGCAAAACTATAGCCTAAATTGAGCTGCTTTGATAATAGTGCCACCAAAATTAACAAATTTATAGGCTCGGTCTATTTTGCCTATAATTAGTTAACTCTTCTACCCCCTTCTTTTTATCCTAATGAAAGGTTTTTGTTAAGGCAGACCAGTCGCTCTATTTTAGGATAAGCGCATTGCGCATGTCTATAGCTAAGCTACAACAATAAGAGTGATTTGGCAGTTTTTAGTTCTTTGGGCGCTTTGACACCACCATTTTTTTCAGAATACAGGCCCTGGGGAATAAAATGATGTCATATCACATGTGTATCTCCGGCCTCTCTTAGGTGATTTAGCATTGCTTAAGTAGTCCATGGACTGTGGTTTTACTCTCTGTGAAGGTTTTCTAAATAAGCAGTGCTCCAAAAGAGTAGTCAGTATTCAATTTGGTCAAAGGCTACATAATCTACCAAGGTCATATTATCTCCCTTAACAAAACCCTTTTACAACTCAGACAATTGAACAATGAACAGTTAATGCAGAACAATTCGGGCCTGAGGGAATTTGATGGCTATCCCCTATTACATTACACAGCATTCTTGGCACATGCAGTGCAACTTGTACATGCTTTGACCAAACTGCTTCTTCCCTTTCCATTTGTAAATCTCTCATTCTTGTTGCATTCCAAAAACAGAAAGATGTTTTGCACTCGCTCTTATTTCCAGGGTTTCAGACACAGCCCACGCCACACAAAGAGAAGTGTGCATCCTCGGATCACAGAAGAAAAGTCTTCTTTGGCAGATGTTCCTGAGAACAACCAGCTGTCATCATCCACTCAGCTAAGAAAACGCAAAGTCAAGAAGAGAGTGCTGCCTGAGTTCTACCAGTCTGTACAAGTCACACCCACACGTAAAGCTGTAGGTATTATCTTTCATTGAAATATGTTTTTTTTTTTTTTTTGGTTAACTATTGAGGTAAAATGTTGAGGAACTCATGCATCTTGATTCCAACTCAGTGATATCTATTGATTGTGACAGATTGATGTATCCTCCTATATCAATTTATTGTGCTGGAATGCTGAGATCACAGTCCAGTACAAAGTGTCAAAAGATAACAAAAGCAAAAGTGAAATCATTCAAGGACTTGATCTAGAATGACTCTACAAAGAATAGCCCGTTAGTTCAACATTGTTTTTTTTTACATAGACATTGTAACCCCATTGTAGCATAAACAGGAGATAATTTACAATCCTTTACTTGTAGAGAAGTAATTTTAAAGGCTTGTGAATTAGAACATAATGCTTTTCCCTCCAAAACAAATGTGGCTTAAAGTATTTTTATGTGCATCAGTTTTAGTTCTGGCTCTCACACATTGTTCTACAGAAATCATGTCTTTGTTTACTCTAATCATATTATGCCATAATTTTAACCCTGCTGAGTCTCACCTTGCACAACAATATGCACACAATTGTTAGGCATTTAGACAAAGTTAAGTGTCGTTTTAAAAGCTTTACCTGTCCACCTATCTCAATACGTGCAAATTATTGTTCAATATCAGGGGTGTCAGTCAGAGCACAGCATTACAACACGCATAGGGTCTGTATTTAGCTGGTATAGAAGTCCTCATCCTCAAACCTTAGCTGTGCGCGGTAGTGACTTCTTTCTATCTGTTGGTGGCGCTAAAGTACAGCCGTTCCTTCCCGGACGGGGCTGATGCTGTGGTTACCGGCTGTGACGCTCTCAGACACATGCAGCCTCCTCTCCCATCACGGTCCAGCGCTGCCTCCACCACTCACACACGCGCGCACACTCACGGCGCACCACCCATCACCTCTCAGGAGATCTGACATCACCTCGCATCCTAATGCTTCGATAAAGGACGCAGACTTTCAGCTGACCGTGTGGCATCAGTTTAAGGGCGTGGCGTGCGTTTAAATGGATACAAGGTTGATCGTGGAAGCTAATAACGCGCAAACAGGATCATTCTTCCTGGCTGACAGCTCACCATGTATACAGTGGTAAGTCTTATTGTTGGCCTGGTGGGGGAGCTAGATACTATTGATTTACGATCGCTCTTTATTTGAGCCAATGTTTCATTATAGCAAGTGTTGATATCTGACTCGTGACGCGACGCTTTCTCACATTAGGTGCTTTACATTCTGGATTATCCACTTTGACCCGGGCTGATGGTTGGAGACAACAGATGTGCATGCGCTACTGTATGCCTGTGACACCAGCTGTGTTTGGGGTGAATCTAAGCATTGTTCCCCTTCTCTCTATTGTCTAACAGAGCTCCAGCTCGGGGAACCCTTCCCAGCGCTGCTCAATGTCTTCCTCGGCAGATTTTTCAGACGAGGATGATTTCAGTGTTAAATCTGGGTCGGCATCCCCGGCTCCCGGAGACACGTTACCGTGGAACCTGCCAAGGCACGAGCGGTCAAAAAGGAAAATCCAGGGTGGTTCCATCCTGGACCCAGCCGAGCGGGCAGTGCTCCGGATCGCAGGTACAGTGCTTCCTTCTATTGTAAACAGACTCATGTTAAAAAAAAAGAAAATGCATGGTGCAATTGGGGACACACTCCCCCTTTTTAGGGACCATCAAAAGAAAACAGGTGTACACGTGCTGCTTTGCGTAATAACGTTTATCAGACGTGTGCCACGGGCGAACATTTTAATGCTAGATCCACTCTCAAGAAATTGCCAGTTTTACAGCAATTGTGCACAGCCCAATAGTCTTAATATAAAAGCAAAAGAAAAAGCATACATGGTCATCAAAGCAGGAGTTCTGTTAAAGGAAATGCTGTGGTGCTTTTTATCGCGCGTAATTGTTTGTAATTGTTGTCGACTTCCAGGTGCAGCAAATTGTCAAAGTCTCTGTAACCCGAGATGTAAATTTTTAGCAAATCTGTCTTTGTGACAGCGGATTGTCAGGTCACTTGCTAGGCTGGGCCTTTAATCGTTTATTCTTCCAAAGCCCACTGCGCCTCTGTGTTTGCGTTTTTCATGAAAATATGTCTTTCAGACCTGTTATCAGGCGCTGCATGTCCAGTGGTTTATATCAATTAGTTGCACGAAGGGGCTCCCATTGGACAAACCGCAGACATGGGCGGGCCTTAGGGCGTTTCCTTCGGCTCAACAACAGCGCCCATCACTCTCCTCGGCCCACACACACAAGCCCACACGTACACGCACGCACATTCACGCGCACGCACATGCCCCGTCCCCGCTGTCTGAGAGCGAATGTCCAGTTGGTCTAGTCCGGGTTATGGCTCAGTACGCACCGCAGGGTTATATGTTTTCCGAAGAGCTGGAATACCTACAAGCCTATGAAGATGTTCTGGAAAAATACAAAGGTAGGGCACACTGTTGACCAGGCGTTTGACGATGAAGACATTGTTAGTTTGCAGTTTGACAGCTCACTCCATATCAAATGGTCCTTTCCCTGTTTTTACTGGCTGGACTTGTGTCACTGCTGTGGAAAATATGAATATCTATTGCATGACTTCACGTGTGGGTGTCATATCTGATTTATTACTCAAATCACTGCTTAAAGGTACAATGTAAGATATATTGGCTTGATTTTTGTGTCAAGATGTTTGTAGTTTAAGTGAACAGTTCAGAAATGCAAGATATATTGATTCTATTCGTTACTGTTGCATGGTTAGAGTGAACTGGATTTGTTGTGTGTGAAGTTTGTTGGCCTGTGTCAGTGCATGTTATGTTGTGTTTACGTTTCTCAAGACTGACTGAAAAGGCCATGTCAGACAGGGATGAGGTGCCAGTTCAAATCGGTACAGCTCCTGTCAGTTCTCATTGGCGCTCTTGGGGCTGTGTCTGGCTAATTAGAGCAAATCTATCACATCATTGGTGAGTGTTACGCTGCCTGTGAATGTGACAGCTCCTCACAACATGCACGTGCACTCTGAACACGCCTAGAGTTTCTGCAGAGATCAATTCAAACTGACAGCGGTTTTCCACCTCGCGTGACTACTCAAACCAAAATGTAGAACTTCAAAATTAACATAATACACAGTAAAATATCCTACTGAATACGTTCTTTCATCAGAATCTTCAGCTGTCCTCTGTTGTAGCCAGCAGCCTCAGTCAGCTGTGGTAAAAGGCTTAAATACTCTGACAGGGCCTAATGGGATCATATGATGCTGCATCATTATGAATCTGCTGCTGTTGTCTTCAGTCAGATGAGCAAACACACAGTGAGCTTAGTTTGTCTTTCTTTAACTCAGTTCAACAATTTCTTTATTAATTTTGCAATAATTTATAGTTTTGGGCCATATATGGTTTGACCTGTAGGTTTTAATGATGAATCCACTAAGAAAGGGTAAGATATTGTTTTAATTTAATTATGTTTTATTAAGTATTATACTAGGTCCACTGCGACAAATGACATTTTATGCCGTAGTAACGAACCCATTAACTCACCATTTCTGTTAATATGAACAGAATTGTGTGTCTTTGGAGTGGTCCTGGCATGCACCGAGCTAATCATTACATCCAACAAACTTATCTAAAGCATCTTGTATCTTTTGGTTTTTTCACAACATAACGCAATAGGGCAAGCCCGTCTATGTGTTTAAATGAATCTTTCAATGTAGATCTTTTCTATTTAACTATAGGGAAATGAACAGGAAAAACAGACACAGACATCCACAGTTTAGAAAAGCATTTGAGATAGAGAAGAGATAGATTTACAGATATTTACACTTTTTAATGAATCAGCTATCAGCCTCAAATCGCAAATATAATGCGTAATTTTTAAGCATTAGGCAAGATAATGGCACAAAATGTGACTAAACTTCTCTTTTATGATACAAAGAGGCTGTGGAAGAGTTCATAGCAAATTTGACATATTTTGGGGGATATAATCAAAATCGACAACACAAAAAGAGCTAATTGGCCATTGGATTCTCTGGAGTCTAAACATCTTTATTGGCATTGGCCATAAAAAACACATATTAGTTGATCTTTAATATAAAGCGTTTGATCATCAACATGTCCAAGGTGCAGTCTCTTGTGTTGTTTGCAGTTACAGATCACCATGGGCCCCTGGCACTTCTGCATGTCATGTGAATAAGTCTAAAAATAAGACAAAAAGACAACCTTTTCATAGCAAAAACGATTAACTGCCAATAGGCCTGCTTCAAAGACATAATAAATAACTGTTGTGTTATATATACTTAGAGACATCACAATAAGTTTAAAGGTGCATTGTGTAACTTTTCTGGTGAAAGGTCCGTCAAATGCTTTTTTCCATGGAGCTGTTATGTTTTGTCTGAGTGTTTCACAGTATGGTATTAAACCTTTCTATCTTCATTTAGACTAAACCAGACAAAGTTACAGGTCAGATCTGTGGAGAGGCAACCCTGCACACAGAATGCCAGAATGCCTGTTTTTCCAGATGGTTATGAGCTATAAAACCACCTATAATTAAGTAAATGTTAGGTAGATCTTTTTATGTCATAATGTGGAACATTTGAAGCAGAGCAATGAAATATCCATAGAAACAAGCAGGAGACCCCAACCAAAAAGTTACACAGTATATTTTTAAGATTGTGAGTATTGTGCAAAGAAACAACAATTTTATAATTATTCACACTTATTGAAAGCATGACTAACCAAGAGTAAAATTTTGTATGTGAATTGTTTTATAAAGTAAAAAAAATATTGGTCTGTACCTGCCATGATTACTACTTTACAATCCTGCTTTAAGGTTATCATTTCAATGACATAATGGCATTCAGTATTATGCATTATTGTCTGCATTTTCTACAGCAGTATATTGTACTTCAAAATACAGTATGTTGTCATAACAGGCCTATCAACAACAAGCGGATCATATGTGTGAAAATGCTTGTACTAACATGTAGCTGTACAATGGTTTGCGTATTGTACACATATCTGTGATTGCTTTCTGTTCTGGTTGTAAAAATACCAGACTAATGAGGTACTATTAGCCGAATCACTTAACAAATGTCTGACATTTAATACCAGTCGTACAAAAGACTGTAGACGTAAGGAATGAGTGTAAGATGTGATTTGGTTTGCACTTACAGTTAATGTTACGGTGCTGGTTTTACAGTGTTTTAGTGGAGCCTGCTGGGTCAGTTTATGACGAGTGGTGTTGTATGAATGGGCTTAGGGCTTTGCTATTAACTGACTTTTAATTGAGAGAAATTCAGTCATTTCTAATCGTCAGTGATTAGGCTTGTCACAATAAATACTATATTAACTTATTATTCAATATGAAAGCTGAAATTATATAGTTTTGGGGTCAATATTTATCATCTGTACCATACATTTTCTTTACACTTCTGAGAAATTTCTGGTTATTTTTGAAGAAATTATAATATTTACAGACACAAAAGAATGAATTAATAGCATCTATGACTCTTGACAGATGCAAACTAAGTACTAAACTGTGGCATTTTATTGCAGCTCATGTTTTTTTAACAATATTGTACATTTAGAATAATTTTGATGACTGACATCTATATTTACTTCTAAAATTAGTTATCGTGAGAGGCCTAGTTGGGTCTTCTGCTGGTAAAAGCATGTGGTTTGGGGCAGAGTTCAGACTTTGAAGAGAGAAATACGACTATGTTTTGTGTTGTTTTGTAAATGGCACTGACTTTTATAAGACAAAATCAAATGAAAATAGTGAATACAAGGAAATAAATGTATCTCTGAGCCCTAATTGTCCAACTGAGTCAGCAAGACTTAATTATCTTCTGACATTATCTTTGATGGATCAGGATTTTACTTTGATCCTTAAGGCTTCTTTTGGTTAGCCTTTTGAACCCTGATTTTTTTTTTTGGCAGACCTATTTATTTAAATGCAGTGTATATGTGTCATGTTGTTTTGGATTAGTCATCTCCTAAATTCAGCACTTCCTGAAGAGGCGGGGTTTTCACTGGGCATCACTGATAATGAGATGCTCTCTGCTTCTGTTTCCTGTGCATCTTTGGGTGCGGTCACATATCTGTCCCCTGATGCTTAACCAAAAATCTCTAATACTGTTAAATGCATTGCTGACACCTATTAATATGTTTTTTAATTATACCTTTCAGGACATTCCAATATGCTTCACAAAACAATTACAATCAAAGAATATAATTCAAAAATGATGAAGAAAAACTGTGGATTAACATTAGATTAAGTAGTCAAATTTGGCTGATATGTTTATATTTTTGTACATACTGTATCGGGTATGAATACTAGAGCTGAACTAGAGAACCTAATCTTTAGTAAAATAAAAAAAGCCTTTAACATTTAACATTATTATATTAAAATGGTGGTGATGAAATCACTCACCAGCACTAAAGCTATGTTTAAACTTTACATGTATTTCTGATGCTCAGACATGCTTTTCTTCCAAATGCATATTGTGTAGTGTTGATAATTTCATTCTATAACACAGAAAAAAGTTGTAATACCTACATAATGAGGTGTGAGAGAGCATTGTATTTTTGCACAGTCACAGGCTTT